GATGGATGGATGGATAGATAGATAGATAGATAGATAGATAGATAGATAGATAGATAGATAGATAGATAGATAGATAGATAGATAGATAGATAGATAGATAGATAGATAGATAGATAGATAGATAAAGGGGTTCATCCCATTTCCGGAGCGCCGGCTCTCTCTCCAGACGGCCCGGACTGGGGATCGATTCCCGGGGGAATTACCCGCCATTCCGATGGAGATGGCGCCCGTTTGTGTGTGTGTTTGTTTGTGTGTTTGTTTGTGTGTTTGTTTGCGTGGTAATTGGCGGCGTGCGGATGGAGATGCTGGAGGATGGAGGGGATGATTGAGCGCCTGATTGATGGAGACACAAAGGCTGAAGCAGAGCTCCATACATCACCCAGACAAAGCAGCTCGCGGCGGGGGGGAGCCTGATTTATACGCTGTAAACACAGATTGAACCCCCCCCCCCCCCCCCATTGCCTCCCGGGTGGCCGCATCTGTCTCCAGATGTTGTTCCAGGAAATTAAGAGTTTGTTTTCTATTCTTCCATCTACTTTCTCTGAGAAAATAGCTAAAAACTATGAAGGTGACCTTGAAATCTTTAGCCCCAAAATACCTTTTTAGTTTTTATCCATCTGAAGTTTTTGTTTCACTCTTAAACTAAATATATAAAAAATAAATCTATAACCTACATACTTTTTTATTTGATTCAAGTAAAATCTTCTGCATTTTGTCTATTACAATAAACTAAATTGTGATAAAATAGCTAAAATCTACGAACATGACCTTGAGATCTTTAGCCCCAAAAAGCCTTTTAATTAATCTGAAGTCTTTGTTTTGCTCTTTAGTTAAATATATAAAAAATAAAACTATAACTTAGATGCTTTTTAATTTGCTTCAATTAAAAGTTTCCGCATGTTGTCTATTAAATAATAATAATAATAATATAATAATATAATAATAATAAACAATAAACTAAATCATGATAAAACGGATCTCAGAATCGTGTCATCAGATCTGATGCTCACGGCTTTAGAGGATTAGTGGAAGATCAGAAATGAGATTTGGTTGTTTATTTACTCAAGCTTAAGCTCCGGAAAAGTTCCAGTAAAAACTCAAATAAACTGATTTTTGAAGTCTTTAATAACCAAATGAGGTGGACGATATGATGAAATTATAAAAGAAAAACACATGTAGGATCTAAGCAGAGAAAGACTAAATATTCCTACGTTAATGAGTGACCGGTATACATTGGGTATAAAAGGAGCTTAGTTATTTAGTAAAAAGGTTAATTATAATCAGCTTTATTCATTATCTCTCATCTCAGATCGTCTCTAAGTTAAAAGAATTTCAGAACAACCTAAACCCTTAAAAAATGTGACTTTCCTTTGATATGTAGAGAATAAAATCAAACAATAAGCAATAATAAAAAATATAAACATTTATGCTAATTATATAACAGAATTAAAATGTATTAATACCAATAATGGAACAGGATCATCCTAAATGACTGTTTATTTTATTATCACACATTTCACTGTGATTAATTTATTAACTCTCAACAGATTTGCTTTCAATCTAGACAGCTTCTGGAAGTTTTGTGACCACATTTTCCTCTTTGTTTTTCCAGAAATTCCTTCAATTTGAAGACATCAACTCAACTCGCTGATAAAAGGTATTTCCAAACTGTACGTTTTTCAGTCAGGAAAAGGTAAAACTTCTCCCAAAGCAGCTGTAAAGGGATTAAGTTTCATTTTTAAGTCACCCTCATAGTCTAATATGTTCTCTGACTCACTCTCGCATGTTCTGAAACCAACTTTTTCTATCTTAAGTGTAAATGGATGTTAAAACACAAACAAAGAGCCAAAATGTCCCTTTTTCTTAAAACAAGCTGAGAGAAACTTCTTTTAAATGTAGTTGAGCTATGATTTAGTCTAAAAGTCAAGCGTTTGTGGGTCCAGAAAGGATTCAGAGCCCTCATTTCAGCCATTTGCTAAAAAAACAACTTTTATTTCTCAGTAATGCTCTCATCTCGACAAAAAAACAACAGAAATGTGGAATATTTTTGCAAACGTATTGTAAAAAAGACAAATCTGAAATGTTACATGGTCATTAACTCATGTTTAACTCAAATAGTGTATATTTCTACTGAAAAAGCCCTAAAACAGATAATATAAGATCAAATATACTCTTTATTTAAATGGTAGAATAATGATAATTGTAATAATAATAATAATAATAATAATCATAATAATGATCCGGACAGTATATTGTTTTGTCAAAAAAAATAAAGTAAAAAAATTGTATAATAATAGTGCCACAGTAGATTACACAGCCATTAGAGAGTTATTGCTTCATTACAGATGATTTGCCCTTTCACAATTTCATCTGTTGAAGCTTTATTTAACAGCTTTATTTATCTAATCTTATTAAATTGTGAAAAGCATCATTTTTAACGGGCAGTTTCCAGCTGCTGTGGACGCTGCTGCCCCCTAGCGGCGCCTCCCGGAACTGCAGGACGTCACGTGTTTTCTAGTGAAAAATCAATTTGGTCTGCTGGAGAAAAAAAAAAAATCATTTCCTTTATTCATTTAGATAAGAAGTCTCTTCTTAAAGTGGAGACACTCCGGGCTGATTTTCTCAGGAAGCAGCGAGCGGATCGGATTTTTGGAGTAATGATGTGGAAAGCGTGTGATTGGCTGCCGGTGGGGTGAGGCCTGATTATACACACTCAGGTCTGAACCCGGGGCTGAAATCCACCTGAAAGGACATCAGATAGTGCAGCATTTTCTGTCCCACTGTGACTCAAAGCTGACAGAAAAACAGGGATGAGCAGATGAGTGGATTATATCATGTAAAAGAATCCCTTTATGTTTCTGCATTTAGGGCTTTAAAAGCTGTTTTTTGGTGGATTTTAACCTGTTTTGGGGCTTTTAAAGCTGCTTTTGGGGCTTTCAGACAGTTTTTTGGGGCTTTAATGATGTTTTGTGGATTTTAAAGCCATTTTTTGGGGCTTTAAAGCTGTTTTTTGTGGCTTTTAAAGCTGTTTTTTGGGGAATTTCAAAGCTGTTATTTCAGTCTTTAAAGGTTTTTTTTCAGTTTTTAAAGGGTTTTTTTGTGGCTTTAAAACAGTTTTTTGGGTCTTTTAAAGCTGTTTATTGGGGCTTTTAAGGCTGTTTATTGGGGCTTTATAGCTGTTTAGGGGCTTTAATACTGTTTTTGGGGGCTTTCAAATTGTTTTTCGGGCTTTTAAAGCTGGTTTTGGGGGTTTTAAAGGTGTTTTTGTGGCTTTAAAGCATTTTTGTGGCTTTAAAGCAGTTTTTTTGGGCTTTAAACCTTTTTTTGTGGCTTTTAAAGCCATTTTTGGGGGTTTAAAGCTGTTTTTGGGGCTTTAAGCCCCCCTGTTTCCTGCTGCCTCTGACGGGTCAGAGACGGGGATCCAGACCGGATGTGAAGGATTGTGGTTTGGCTGGAAAGTATAGAAAGTAAGAGACAAACAGGACGATTTTATTGGTTCATTTTTTTAATTAAAATATATAGAAACATGACCACTAGTGTAAAAGTACAACGTGAAACGATGCGCACGTGTCCCTGCAGCTTTCTGGAGCAGCACTTCACCTCAAACACGTCCCATTCCCCACAAAAGCCGTCTTTTTCTGCCTCTTTTCAGCCGTCGAAGCCTCACAACATTTAGCCCCTTAAAAAGCGTCCCGGAGACCACAAACCTGCTGGTCTGTTCAAATCTGAGCGGAGAAAGAAAGAAAAACTAAACGAAAAGCTCATTTCCAAACTCGCCTGAAGAGGAAAAACTCAACGTGAGAGGCTCCGGATGAAGAACGGGGGGGAAAACCTCTGAAACACACACGTTAGGGGGGAGTTTAGCTAAAGAATTTAGCTCAGAAACCTGCGCTTTCTTTTGTTTTTAAGCCACTAACATGGCTGGAAATGGAGGCTGTTCTGGTTCTGGTTTCTGTTTGTAAAGAAAAAACTGGAAAAATAGATTCATTTAGCTTTGAAACCTGCCCTTTTTTTGAACGAGCCACTGGCTGGAAATGGGGGCTGTTCTGGTTCTGGTTCTGGGGGGGAACCTGCTTCGTCCTGAACAGCTGATTGGTTGGTGGTTTGTTAAAATCTGAGCGGAGAAAGAAAGAAAAACTAAACGAAAAGCTCATTTCCAAACTCCTGCTTCATCCTCTGGGCCCTGAACAGAAAAAAACAGGGAAAAAAAGCTTAATTTAGCTTAGAAACCTGCCCTTTTTCCCCCGTTTTTAAGCCGCTAGCGTCGGGGGCTGTTCTGGTTCTGGTTTCTGGGGGGACCTGCTCGTCCTCTGGTGGGGGGGTCAGTGGAGCCCTGCAGTGTCTGTGGGCCTCCAGCAGGGGGCCCCAGGGCCTCAGGAGGCGTCGCCCTCGGGCTGGCCCTCCTGGAAGGGGTAGCTGAGGGCGGGGGGGAAGCCCTGGGTGGCGCGCGGCTGCTCGTCCAGCAGCACCAGGTCGTCCACGTCGCGGCCCCTGAAGCGGCGCCGGCACACCTTGACCGCCACCTTGCGGCCCTGGAAAACCTTCAGCGCCTCCTTGGACGCCATGGCGCGTGCGGCCGCCTCGTCCCGCCCGTAGCCGGTGCCCAGGTACACCGTCTGGCAGCGCAGCTCGCACACGTGGCCGTCCTGCGTGCGGCCGGCCGGCAGCCCCTCGATGTCCCGCAGAGGCACGAAGGTGCAGGCCAGCGCCGTCTTGCAGGATTCCGCGCAGCTGCGCAGGACCTCGAAGTGGTCCAGGTTGGGCCCCGGCCCGCCCGCAGACACCAGCTTCCAGGCCACCGCCTTGTAGAGCCGGTTGAAGAGGGGCTGCCGCTCCGCCGGGGCCTGCGGGGGGGGCGCCCACTTCTGGGCCTCGGGGGGGGCCGCACCGGCTACGCTTCACCCCCCCCTCGCCCTCGCCGTCTGAGAAAAAAGGGGATCAGATCAGACTTTTAATCAGGTCTAAGTTAACACCTGGAAGAGCTTTTTATTTACATTAGGCTGGGCCTGATCCCACATTAGCATTAGCATTAGCATTAGCATCTGTAACCACAGGTCTGTGTCCCAACCATTAAGTTGTTATCAGAGCATTAGCATTAGCATTAGCATCTGTAACCCACAGGTGTGTGTCCTAACCATTAAGTTGTTATCAGAGTAAATCCCTGTTCAACATGAGTCTGACAACTAAGTAAGTAGATAAATAACTTTACACTTTAACACATGCTCTGATAGGCCGGGAGTTTTACCCTAAAATGTGCTAAATTTGCAGTTTACCATAAAATATGCAAAATTGACATTTTTCCCATAAAATGTGCAAAATCAGTTTTTTTTTACTACAGTGTGCAATATTTACAGTTTTTACACTAAAATGTGCTACATTTACTTTTTTTATAAATTTAGAGTTTTTACCCTAAAATGTGCTAAATTTACAGATTATTTACTATAAAATCCGCAAAAAAATTTTTTTTTTCCCCCCCGGAAAATGTGAGTAAATCCCTGTTCAACATGAGTCTGACAACTAAGTAAGTAGATAAATAACTTTAAACTTTAAGACATGCTCTGATAGGCCGGGATCGGATCGGGACATCCCTAATAAAAATTTAATAAAACTTACTAAGCTAAAGTTTAAAGTTCAGATAGTAAAGTCAGAGTAAGTTAGGGTTGGTCCCCTAAACTTCCCACATGAGGGAGGAACATCATAGAAGTACAATAAACACAAAACCTAACTAAATAGAAGCTAAATCATATTTAACTTCACACAAATAACATATCCGTACCGGCGCTCCTCTTCCCACGGGACGCCGCTTCTTCTTTTGTGGTTTTGTGAACCGGAGGGTCTTTCACCACGATGCCCTCGCTCATCTCCTTGATCTTGTCCTGGACAGCCTGAGGGTAGCTGAGAGGAGAGGGCACAGGTCAACTCCAAACCGCATGCAAACCTTCAAATTTCATTATGAAACTGTCTCATTTAATTTCTGCCAAATGAGAGAAAGAACATGTTACATAGGACTCATAAACTGACAGATATCAGCCTCCATGACAGGGAAAAGTCCAGAAAAGATGCTTTTTTTGTTGACATTTATTTGAAAATTACAGGAATTCTGTGAAATACCAGCTTAAAACTGAGCAGAGGAACCAGGATCTGGATCAGAAAGGTCAGTTTCTGACCGGAGAGATGTTCCAAATGAGATATTTCTGATGGAAGCAATCTCCAGAAAAGTAGTTTTATTCACTTTTTGGGAAAATGTGCTGCCAGATTTTGTGGAAGTGTGTTAATAATCTCTCTTTTTGTCAGAGTATCTGGTCCTTTTTTTGCTTTCTCTCCAACCAGATCCCAAATAATTAATATCTAATCTCAAATTAGTTGGGTACATTGTTTTTTCTTATTTTATTTTTTTTTCTTCCATCATTTTAAGGATCAGAGCTTCATTAAAAACTTCCAGACTTTGACAGATCTGTTGTCAGTTAGTGGAGCATGAACTTTTTTAGAGTCATTCCTCCATTTCAGGACTTTATTCATCAGCCTGACTTCCACCTGCTTCCCTCAGAGACAGACAGTGGGATCAGTTCTGCTGTCAGATGTAGCTCTACAGCAGGTTTCAGCCGGTCTGAGGGCTTTAAAGGAGCAGAACGGGGTTTTCAGAGCAGACAAAAGCTGCTTTAGCCTGTCATGTGGTGGGTGGGGAGGCTGGGCCCCTCTGACTGACCCCCCCCCCGGTCCTACCTGCATCCCAGGAAAACGTGGTTGGCCCAGACCATGGACAGAGACAGCAGCCTGTCCAGGCTCCCGCCGGTCTGGCCCGGCTCCACCGTGGGGAAAGCCTCCAGGTTCCTCAGGATGAACTCCCTCCGGGCCAGCCACTGCTTGTTGCTCTCACAGTAGCCGCGGAAGGTGTCCACCCACCCGGCCAGCTGCGGGTTCTGGCCCAGGTACTCCGACACCACGTCCTCTCCGCTCCCCTCTCCCGCCATCCCTGCGCTGACAGGAGCAAACACACACAGTAAACCCACAGAAACTTGCTCTTTAATGGGAGCAACAGCCGAGCTACTGAGGCTAACTTGAACCGGGGACGGAGGACCGGGTCCTTAACGCCCTGGGCCGCGATAGTTTCACACGCCTGGCCGGAATATGACGTTAGTTAAGCCATAAACGTCGTGTTTTCCGGATTGACGCTTAGAAAGTGACAATTACCTGACTTCCAGTTGAGTCCAACGGTAAGTCAGGTAACACTAGCTACGTCAGAAGAAAGGTTAAGGACCACAACAGGTTGTCGGGCTTAACACCACCGACCATTACGCTGTCAAACGGTTTCACAAATTTTAAAGAGCCATTAAATTAATATGAAACTACGACATACCGACCGAGATCTCTCTGTTCCGATGTGTCGCTAGCTAGCATACATGACCGGGTGATGACGCAAATGTGGCGTCGACGGAACTACATTTCCCAGAACATTAACTCAACCAACTAACTGTTAGCTAGTTGGTTACTCTCTCCAAAATTCAAACAATAGTTTAAAAAGATTGTTTTGGTGTTAAAAATCTAATAAAAACACAAATCCTTACTTTATTTAAAAAAAAAAAAGTTTTTAAACGACGCGCGCAAATGGCCGCGACGCTTGACGTCATCAGCCCGCGACTGCCAAAACGCTGGCGGTTTGTTTGGGACCATGAATGAATATCTTTACGTTTTTCCTCGTATGTGTTTGTTATTCAAGTGAGCTAAAATGATCCACGAGCTCTTGCTGGCTTTGAGTGGCTATCCGGGGACAATCTTTACGTGGAATAAACGAACGGGTTTGCAGGTAAATCTGAAACAAACATGTTAGCTAACGTTATTCACTATTGTAATGCTTTCTTTTTCAAAAAGGTTCGAAAGTTTTGGGCTTGGCATTATTAAACTAAGATTTTGCCAAGACATATTTTATCTATATATACATCATATTAGTGTCGCCATCTATCCTCTGTCAAAATATACACCGGGATCCCTAATTATCCTAAAACTGATGGCAACATCAGCCCCTTTTTAGTAGCTGACAGAAGGTTTCCATCCACAGGTGTCCCAGGACCTGCCGTTCCTGCATCCCAGTGAGACCAGTGTCCTGAACCGACTCTGCAAACTGGGCTCAGATTACATCCGCTTCACAGAGTTCATAGAGCAACACACCGGCCATGTCCATCAGCAGGTGACTTATGAGGCCAATAACTCCAAGTCCTCAGAGATTCCCATCAGCTCATCTCAAACTTAGCCGTTGCTATTTATTCTCCTTCTAATAGATTAACCTGTCTTATAAAGAGAAGCAGTTTTAGTTTCAAACTGGTGCTTTCTCTCGAACGTTTAGGAACATCACACAAGCCAGCCCAGCCAGACGGGACTCCATGGGATCTACTTGCGGGCGTTTTGCACGGGGCTGGACTCCATGTTGCAGCCGTACAGACAGGCCCTGCTGGACCTGGAGCGGGAGGTACCATGACCACGCACACGCCTGAAAATGACTCGCACAGCCTGTGAAACGGCACTCATTTACCTCGCTGTGTGTTTCAGTTCCTCGGAGATCCACATCTGACCATATCGCATGTGAATTACAAGCTTGATCAGGTACTTAAGGATGTAAAATCTAGAAAAAGAAATTATGGGGAAAATATACATTTTGCCCGGCAGTTTGTTTAATGCTTTGCTTCATTTTTTTTGTGGTTTCAGTTTCAGCTGCTGTTCCCCTCCGTCATGGTGGTGGTGGAAACGATCAAGTCCCAGAAGGTACAGAGCATCTGACAGCCTTTTAGTGATCTGTTATCAGATATTTCAGTTCAAATCATCTCTTTTATGGGGAGAAAATCAGTTGGGGATAAAAAAGTTATTCGTTGTTTGTGTGTTTCAGCTGATTTTGTCAAACAGTTCCTGCAAAAAATGAGAGAATTTCAACTTAAAAATGAACAGAATGACATATTTTATGTTTATGTTGTTTATGTTTATGCATTAAGACGCTTTTATCCAAAGCGACTTACAAAGTAGACACAATTTTACAGTTATCATCAATATGACAATGAGTTCTCTAGAGGAAAATCTCCAGTCAGAATCAGAGAGAAAGAAACACAGAAAGAGGGGTAGAGGGTCCAGAGGTAAGAATCAGGATAAGAGATGCTCTTTGAAGAGGGGTGTCTTTAAGTCTTTTAAAGGTCTTTTAAAGATAAAAAAAAGTATTGATTTGAGTAGTGATCAGCGTATGCAGTCTTATTGTTGCTATCAGGGTGTAAGCTGTGCTTCTGCCTGGCTTCAGATCCACGGCTGCCAGATCCTGGAGACGGTGTACAAGCACAGCTGTGGGGGGCTGCCTCCGGTGCGCATGGCTTTGGAAAAGTGAGTCTGGGGGGGGTTACAGCGGGCGGTTTTTGGGGTTGGTGCTGATCCCGGGAGATGTCTGTGTTAGACATGTCCCGATCCAGCTTTTTGCACTTCCGATCCGATCCTATCCTGGCCTATCAGAGCGTGTGTTAAAGGTAAAAAAAAAACAACATAGATTTTGCACATTTTAAGGGAAAAAATGTCAATTTTGCATATTTTATGGTAAAAAAAACCTGTAAATTTAGCACATTTTAGAGTAAAACTCCCGGCCTATCAGAGCATGTGTTTGTGTTAAAGTCTAAAGTTATTTATCTACTTACTTAGTTGTCAGACTCATGTTGAACAGGGATTTACTCACATTTTCCGGGCAAAAAATTCAATTTAGCACATTTTAAGGTAAAAACTCTAAATTTAGTATGTTTTATGGTTAAAAAAAAATAAATTTTGCACATTCTGGGGTAAAACTCCTGGCCTATCAGAGCCTGTATTAAAGTTTAAAGTTCTTTATCTACTTCCTTAGTTGTCAGACTCATGTTGAACAGGGATTTACTCTGATAACAACTTAATGGTTAGGACACAGACCTGTGGGTTACAGATGCTAATGCTAACTAAACTGAATCTGGAGTCTGGATCTGCGTTTTCTCCTGCCGGCCGATACCCATCTGTGTGTGTGTGTGTGTGTGTGTGTGTGTGCGTGTCAGGATCCTGGCCGTGTGCCACGGCGTCATGTACAAGCAGCTGGCGGCCTGGATGCTGCACGGCCTGCTGCTGGACCAGAGCGAGGAGTTCTTCGTGAAGCAGGGCCCCAGCGCAGGGGGGGCCGCCGCCAACCAGGAGGAGGAGGAGGAGGACCTGGGCCTGGGGGGCCTGAGCGGGAAGCAGCTCAGAGAGCTGCAGGACCTGGTGAGTAGAGAGTCTCCCTCAGTTTCTGACCGGAGAGAGGTTCCATATAAGATATTTCTGATGGAAGCAATCTCCAGAAAAGTAGTTTTATTCCTTTTTTTGGGAAAATGTGCAGCCAGATTTTGTGGAAGTGTTATTAATCTCTCTTTTTGTCTGAGTATCTGGTCCTCTTTTGGCTTTCTCTCCCAAATAATTTGTATATATTCAAAAATGACTTGGGTACATTTTTTTTTCTTATTTAAATTTTTTTCTTCCCCTTTTTAAATGTTGTAATATCCCTCTCCTGTCGGTTTTATCTTCTGAATCTCCCATACTGCTCTTAGTTGGTTATTACCATGAAGTATTAGGGCCACATTTAAAAGGGGAAAAAAAATTGTGAATTAATTACGAGATAAGTCATTATTTAATATGGCGAGAATAAATTACGAGATTAAAGTCATGAATATTCTATCTTGCTATAGAGGAGGAGAGTTCTTTATGTGGAGGGAAATGGCTGGAAATGGCTCAGAGGGGTTTTATTCTCACATTCGAAATGCCGACTCTCTCCCTCTTTTCAAAGCAAAACTTAAAATCCACCAGTTTAAAATTTCTTACCCACCTCACCATTATTTATGATGTATTTACGACTTTGTTTTAATGATGATTGTCTTTGTAAAGTGTCCTTGACTGGCATGAGCGGCGCTTTTTAAAAATAAAATGTATTATTATTATTTATTTAAAAGTATATATATATTTTAAAGTGGCCCTAATGCTCCGTCGTAGGTTACAAACGTTCGTATATATTTTTTCAAATGTTTTTTTTCTAAACACAGCATTTGACTAGTGTTTATTTATTTATTTATTTGTATTTATAATTATCATTATTATTATTATTTTATTTTTTAGAGTGTATTAGTTCACAAGAGTGTTTTATTATTTTTGTTATTTACTTATTTATTTTTATTTATTTATTAATTTATTATTGTTATCATTTTTTTAGTGTATTAATTCACTAGTGTTTTTTATTTACTTATTTGTTTTTATTTATCTTTATCTATTATTATTTTTCTTTAGAGTATATTAATTCACTAGTGTTTTTTATTTTTTAATTACTTATTTATTTATATTTATTATTATTATTATTATTATTATTATTATTTTTTTTTTTTAGAGTGTATTAATTCACTAGAGTGTTTTTAATCTCTTAATTTTAATTGGTTGTAACACTGTTTTGACTGACAAATCAAAGCAGCCTCTCCTACACGGTCCAAAATAAAGACTGTTAAAATATAGAGCCCTTCATGGCTGTCCCCCCGTTAGAGGCTGGTGGAGGAGGAGAACATGCTGGCCCCCTCCCTGCAGCAGTTCTCTCTCAGAGCAGAGATGCTCCCCTCCTACATCCCCGTCCGCGTGGCTGAGAAGATCCTGTTCGTGGGGGAGTCTGTGCAGATGTTCGAGAACCACAACCACAGCCCGTCCAGAGCCGGTAGGTAGCCCAGTCCCCCCTGCCCCCGGAGGCGGAGGATAACCGGTGACCTTTGACCCCCCGGGGCTCCAACAGGCTCCATCCTGAAGCACCAGGAGGACGCGTTCGCCGCCGAGCTGCACCGGCTCAAACAGCAGCCGCTCTTCAGCCTGGTGGACTTCGAGAACCTCATAGACCGCATCAGGAGCACTGTGGCCGAGGTCAGTCCACGGGGTCCCACCGGGTTAGGTTAGGGTCAGGGTTAGGGAAAGGGTTAGGGTTAGTTTGTGTTTTCCACTTTTTTTCCATCTTAACTCCATATCAGGGTTTGTTTTATTTAAAAAAGATAAATTCAGTGAGTATTTAGCGCCATTTTTTTTCTTTTTGGTCATTTAGAAAAGTGCTCTGGCACAAATCCCTGTTACAGTTTATGATGGCCGATTTGTAACGGCTACCTCTAAAAAGTCCCTCAGAATTAAAAACAAACAAACAGTTAAATGTCCTCTAAAGCATCTTTTAAATA